GAATGGGTTCTCAAATGAGAGTTTTGAGAAACTCTATAAAAAACCCCAAAACATATGTGTCAATTAGAGATTGGTATAATTTTTTAGAAATATAAAATTTAATTATATTACTAATTTTTATTAAAATATTATTTTTTTGTTTTTTTAGAGATTCTGTGAAGTGGTAAGGAATGGACATGCTCTAACACTATTCCAAAAAGAAATACTTGTTTAAAGAATAAAAAAACAAAATTCTATAACTAAGTGTAATTAACGTTTTCGATGTCTTCATTGTCAAACTTTAATAAAGATAAAAATGTTGATAATTTCAAAAGTGAAGATAGTGAACTATTCCAATTATCCTAAAATGTAAAAACTGAATGGGGGAAGAGATGCTTGAAAAAGGCAGCAAATAAATTAACTTTGGTTTGATCTCATCTCTTTGAATCACTTTCAAGTTTGTTTTCTTTATTTTTTTTTCTTCTAATCTTTTGCATATCTAAAGTTCACAGACAAATAACGTGAGCACAAAAAGATAACATTCTTTTATTTTGTTATAGAGAAAGTTATGTTATTTTTGGGTCACTATTCTCACTCAATGAGGACTCGACATTCGCGAAAGAATTAATGTCTATGTTTTTTTAATTGTTACACAAAATTATAACATTTTCACTGAATATAATTTGAACTAGAAAAGTATATATATGTTGAGAAATTTCAAAAACTGCCATTTTTCCAGTGCCACTTTACAAAAATACCACACTTTAAAATCTTTACAAATATGTCACTTTTTCAAAATTATTTTTTCTTTATATTATTTATGTTTGAGTTAATATGTTTTATTAGGGTTTAGTTTTGAGTGTTTATAGGGTTTTAGGTGTCAAAATATTTTTTAGAGTTTAGAATTTTAAGATATAGGTTTTATAAATCTATAGTTAGTGGTATTTTTGTAAATAAATATCCTTAACTAGCATTCTTACAAATAAAAAGTAACATTTTTATAATTACCGATATGTGTTACATATAGTTATTCAATTAACGCCAAAAAAAATATATAGATATATATATTCAATTATTATATGTGTACCCGTATCGATGTGCACTATCCGAGTAGTGCATATCTAGTCACTCTTTTCATTTTTAAATTTTTACTGCAAGTTGATTTTATAATAATGCAAGATCTGTTTTTCTTTTTTTTATGTCTCTCTTAAGATTCTAATCAACTAGCTTAACTATTCATCTCCGTACATATAAATTTCCGTACTATCTTTTTGGCTTAAAATTGTTAAAAAGCAAAAAGAAAACACATAGCCCCAAGGAAACGTCCCATCTTCGAACATGCAAAGATAATTTAAACATTTTTATACCGTTTTGTGTAGTACGTACAAACATTTTATTTTATTATTTTTGTGACAAAAAAAAAATTGTTATATACGCTGCATTGTCGCTGTGCCACAATTAAATTCGGTGTTGCATTGCATGCATGTGTAGTATATATGTTTCGTTCACTCTTTGTAACAAAATATTGTCGACAACAATAAAACTATTGAATTTTTTTTTGTTATATCTACTGGGATAACTGGGTTATATACAAAATACAGCACTGATTTCGAAGCTGTTATTAACAGTGTAAAAACTTTCTTACCGAAGAAATAAAAGATCAGGATTTTTTTTGAAAAACTCTATATATTAATCCTTTAGTAGTACATGAAGTTGTTTTTGTTAAGGTCTTAATTTATGTACCTTAACAAAAACATAAAATATGAAATTAAATTTCTTCAAATGATGATACATATTGTTTGGCGTAACATATGTCAACATTAAAGGAAAATATTTTGATTAAGTTTATATCCATAATGGTGAATTCTAAAAAGATTTTGAATAGTGATGTCCCACAATATCTCGTCTCGTTAGTAACAAAATTCTC